TCAATTTGTTTTTTATTTTGTTACATAATTAAGAATTTCTTTAAAAAAAAATGCAGAGAGTTTGATCTCTGTGGAACAAATCAACAAAAGAACCTACTTTTTTTTTTTTTTATATACAATAGTTGTATTTTTTTTATATACATTTTTTATATACAATAGAATAAAGTTCGGATATTGAAAAAATGAATTGAATTATTCTTTTTAGTATAATACTTTAGTGAATTTCGCTTCATTTATAATATTTTTCATTTAGTTTAGTTTTAATTTTGATTTATAAGATTGGATTTTCCATAAAAAAAGGAGTCTTTATGTCACGTTACAGAGGACCTCGTTTCAAAAAAATACGCCGTCTGGGGTCTTTACCAGGACTAACTCGTAAAAAGCTAACAGTCAAAAGCGAACTTAGAAATCAATCGCGATCCAGTAAAAAATCTCAATATCGTATTCGTTTAGAAGAAAAACAAAAATTGCGTTTTCATTATGGTCTTACAGAACGACAATTGCTTAAATACGTCCGTATCGCCGGAAAAGCTAAAGGATCAACTGGTCAGGTTTTATTACAACTACTTGAAATGCGCTTGGATAACATACTTTTTCGATTGGGTATGGCTGCGACGATTCCTCAAGCCCGCCAACTAATTAACCATAGACATGTTTTAGTTAATGGTCGTATAGTAGATATACCAAGTTATCGTTGCAAACCTCAAGATATTATTACAGCGAAGGATGAACAAAAATCGAAAACTCTGATTCAAAATTATCTTGATTCAGCCCCCCGTGATAAATTGCCAAATCATTTGACTCTTCACCCATTCCAATATAAAGGATTAATCAATCAAATAATAGATAATAAATGGGTTGGTTTGAAAATAAATGAATTACTGGTCGTAGAATATTATTCTCGTCAGACTTAAACCTAACTAAAATAACAAGAGTTTTTATCCGAGGATTTTCCGACATTCATATATCATAGACATGATTCATATATCATAGACATGGATATAGGAAAATTTTAATTCCTTGCTCACTTTTTCCACTCTTTTTTATATTACCGAAAAAATTAGGAATAGAGAGTCCATATCAAAAAATTGGAAATAATGGTATGCATTGTTATTTGAAACATTGTGATGGGTAATATTGATTAATTTGTTAAAGATTCGGAAAGAGAGGGATTCGAACCCTCGCTTCTCTTGGGCTTGGGCCCACTCTTCATGAATCCTCCTTGCCATAGCCCTAGTAGTTGGGCCCTTAGCCCATGGGCCTCCTCCATCACGTGGCCTCTTCAAGCACCTGTCAAGAAAAAAGGAAAAGAATCAACTTTTCTGAGTAGAATCGACGTTGTTTGAGGTGCAAGAACAAATTTGGGTACTTAGTAACCTTCAACTAAGAAAGATGATTTTAGAGGAAGGACATTCATTTAGGAGCTACTGAGGTGTATCGGGACCTTAGGAGGATGTATCAGAGTGGTGTAGTGGAAGCATGATGGCTTAAGGTGAATTGAGGAGTAGAGGAATTGTATACTCGTGATTAGTATGCTAGAAGTCTTTAGGAATTTTTGTAGCATTTAGACGTCCCATTTTGGAACTGAGATGGTGAGGGGATAGACCTTAGTTGTAGGTTTGTCTGAGACGCTTAAGAGTTAGGAGAAGCTTGAAGAGTTTTGATGATCACAACATGAGAACAACAACTTGGAGCACAAAAACAAAGTCAAAGAAGAATCAAGAAAATGCTATGAGATGGAGCTATGTAATAGAACTTAGGATATAGATTGTTTTGAATGTGTTGCTATATTTTGTGTATTTAGTATGCTTTGTGCATGAGCAAATCTTATCTAAACTAAGTAGAGAGTATATGATGATGAGTTAAAAACATTGCAAATACAACAAAAAATATTTTAAGGACTTATCGACCATGTAACACCCTATTTTTCATAAAATATAATATAAATATTTTATTAATAATTTTGATATTTTTATTTTTACTGATCAGAGCTGATTAATATTTATTTTATTATTAATTAGCTATATTTTGTGATCAATAAATATGTTGGTTTTAGTAACTATTGGTAATTATTTTTATTTGAATTTATTGTGAGGTTTTATAATTAAAGGTTATATTATTTAATTATTTATTAAATAAGGAAAGGAATTTTTGGAATAACTATGATTGACGTTTCTAACTAAAAGGTTAAAGGGGGGGTTAAGTTCTTTGAAAAGAAAGAAAGAAAGAACTTGTAAGATCAAAAGGAAGTCTGAAGAATCAAAAGACAATCCGAAATCCCTTGAGGTGTTATCGATTTTTATGATAACAAACAATTTTCTAAATAGATTAGAGTTTTATAAAAACACCTTTTATGACAACAACAAGAAGCCACGAGTTTCTCTAAAAAGAGACTACTTTAGATGAAGCAGATGTTATATTTCGTCTGTAAGACAAAGTGTACCAAACGAAGTGCATGATCCAGATTAATGCTATATTTATTTTTCGTTAAAGAGTCAGATTATACTTTAAGAATCATTAATGCTTTATTCCTTAAGAAACCAAATGAAAAGCTTCCTTGAAGAAAATGAGAGCTTTCAAAAGGGGAATGTCAAATCATTATGTCAGGATATAGAAAGAGAAAATCCCGGATATCGCGGACAAGACACTGAAAAAGTTTGTTTTGCATTGTCGGAATCCGAAAAATTCCCATCTTACCCACCAATGGTTTCGACTTCCATTTTGAAAATCTCATTGGTTAAGCAATGTTCGGAAACCAAACTAATCCATAATCAATGTTTTTAGAAAAAAGTTCGAGGGAGACGTCACCGATGTTTTACTCAAAATATTGAAAAATGAAAAGATTTTTAAAATTACCAAAATGACCCTCATAGCCAGAATTTGGTTCAAGGGTCGATTACGTGTACAGAAGGTATTAAGTACCCTACAACTGTCTCTCACTCCCTCTTCTCATTCATGATCTTTCTCACATTCTCTCTAACGTCGTCGCTATCCCTGCTGGTAAGTGTTTGATATATTGTCACAATGAACACCATGATACCGCTTTAAATTGGTTAACAAATTATCAATTTTAAAAGTTTAAACTTACAAAATCGATCAAATAACTGATTTTAAAAGTCTAAAATAATTTATTTTAGAAGTCCTTTTTTTTCAGTAGTCAAGATCAACCAAAGCATGATAATAGGAATAAAAAAAGAAGATTAAAATGTAGAAAAACACCAAATTTGGAGCGAGCATGGGATGCAACTATGGAGGACACAAAAATGATGAAGGAGACATCGACATCACCATATATACAAATGAAGAACTCTTTGACATCGAAAACGTGGAAAAGTATGTTGCAAATGGGGGTCAAGGGTGCAAAGGAGGGGTCACGGTAGTGGGAAAAAGAACAAAAAACGAGAGCACATGTAAAAGGAAAAACAAAGTCAGAATGAATTAAGAGGGGATTCTACCTAAGTTATTTTTTAATTAATATAAAACTTCTATATAAACTATATGCACTACAACAAAATTGATTATTATCGATAATTATTTAGTGACAATAACTTTATTTTAGTATTTAATAAAAATATTAATGACTAATATATAATGGCTACAAAAAATGTATTTATATCACACCAAAAATTATTATTAGTGATAATTATTTATTTAGAAAAACTTAAGTCCCACATCGACCAGAAATAAGTTAATTAAAGAATATATAAATAGATGATAACTCTGACCTTACAAATTTGTTTTGTACTACTCAATGTGCGACTTGTAAGATGAGAATTGTCTTTTACTTATATATTTTTTAATTATCTTATCTCTTAATTAATTATTTTATCAATAGTCGATGTGGGATTTGGATTTTTCCCAATACACCCTCTCAAGTTTAAGAACTATTGAGAATAGTAAGTAAAAGGACTAACTTACATAACTAAATTAAGTTTTGGAACTCAGATATTACAAAAATATTTCAGAGACCTATCGACTACCTCAACCATCTTTCAAGGACCAAATTGGGTGTTTATTCTGAAAATACTAGTGGGAAAAGAATGATTCAGTATGACAGAGAGTTAAAAGTCACATCATACACTAAAAAGATTACACAACACTTAATGATTTATATAGTATGTCTCTCATTATCTAACACTTTAGACATCAAAATAAATTCAACATGGAGATTTTTTTTTGAATTATTCAGTTAGATTCTACTTTCATGGAAGTAGTAACTTCTATTGTAGAAGTAGTGCACAACTCTTTAGAAGATGATTTTTCATCAAAGATCTCTCCTCCGACATAGAATGCTGGTCTTTGAGGTAAGGAAACTATTGCACTCTTGTTTGTCAACATTGTTATAATGTCAGACATTGTGGGTCGATCATTTGCACTTTGTTCAACGCACAACAAACCAACATGAATGCATCTTTGCACTTCATCATGCTCAAATGACTCATTTAGTGATGCATCCAATAATTGTAGACATAAGCCATCATTCCATAACTCCCATGCCTGCTAATATTTTAGTCAAATTAGACACTGCAAACAATATACCAAAAAATAACTAAATATCACTAATTTTACATACATGTCCTATTAGATTTGATGGATGATCATCATCATAAAAGCTATTGTTTCTTCTTCCACTAACAATTTCAAGTAGCAACACTCCAAAGCTGTAAACATCAGACTTTGTAGAGAAAACTCCTTCCATGGCATATTCTGGAGACATGTAACCACTAAAAAGAAAAATAATTTATGACTTACATGACAATAAATTTTTTGCATTCAACTAAAACACTTCAAACAAAGAGAGTTTAGCATGCTTACTATGTCCCAACAATTCTATTGGTATTTGATACAGATTCTTGTTGAGTGAACATTCTTGCAATTCCAAAATCTGAAATTTTTGCATTCATATTTTCATCAAGAAGAATGTTACTAGTTTTCAAGTCTCTATGAATGACTTTGAGTCTCGAGTACTTATGAAGATAGAGTAATCCTTGAGAAATTCCTTCTATTATGTTGAAACGCTTCTTCCAATTTAACAATTTGCTTCTAGTACGATCTTGCCAATGACAATATATAGTGATGTGTTAGAATGATAATTATATAACGCAAATATGACATTTTAGACTAGTATTTTTGTTCATTTATAAAAGCCTAATATATATTTACTAGATATTAGATACTTTCTAGTAATTAAGGTAAACATAAGTCAATATAGTCAATTTATCATCAACAACTAATAATGAAAATTTTAGTTGAGCAAAAGCTCAATATTACTCTACTTATGTATTGCAACTGCTGCATATATAAGACTGAAAACATTTTCTTTTGTTTTGCTTTTGACCTCCTAAAGAACACATAACTAAATAGACTCTCACATATCCCTTACCGAATAGATAGAAATCCAAGCTCTTGTTTGGCATATACTCATAAATTAAAATCCTCTCTTCTTTTTCAATGCAACAACCAAGTAGTTGTACAAGATTCATGTGCTGAAGTTCACATATGAGTGTTAATTCATTTTTAAATTCAAGAATTCCTTGTCGAGAAGTTTTAGAAAGCCTTTTCACAGCAACTTCTTGACCCGTTGTTAAAATTCCCTGAAATGACAAAAAAAAAAGAATTATATATATATATATATATTATCAATCCTCTAAAACAAAATTATTAATGCATAACTTGATTGGCTTCAAGTCACCTTATAAACAGGTCCATAACTGTGAGTGCTTGTAATCGTACACGAGAAAAATGATAAAGGAAGAATTTGTGAAAAGAGAGAAGAAGAGAAAGATCAATAAAAACCTCAAGAATATGATTTCATATCAGTGCCGAAACATCTGAGAGTTGGTTATATATACAGTACAAACGACTAACTTTATCTAAGAGATAAGATGTGAAAATAACAACTAATCCTATATCTAATAGTAACTGAAACAACTATAACTAGATAAATATAGAATGAAGATATTATCATTCTATTTCTAATACCCCCTCTCAAGGTGGGCATGTATATTGTGAAGTCCCAACTTGGAAATAGCTATGTGAAAAGGATTAGGATAAAGAGACTTGGTAAATACATCAACCAATTGACTTGCTGAAGGAACATGTAGTAATTTGATGAGACCATCTTGAATTTTCTGTCTAGTAATATGAGAATCAACCTCTATGTGTTTGGTTCTCTCATGAAATGTGGGATTTTTAGCAATTTGAATTGCTGATTGACTATCACAGAATGTAGTATAAGGTGTTGGAACAGAGATGTGTAGATCTTGGAACAAGTATTGGAGCCATTGTAGTTCACAAGCTAAAGAAGCTAAGGCCCTATATTCAGCTTCAGAAGAGGATCTTGACACAGTAGTTTGTTTCTTTGATTTCCATGTAATCAAGGACTTGCCTAAGAGAACACAATAACCTGTAACAGACCTTCTAGTTGTAGCACAAGTTGCCCAGTCAGAATTTGAAAAAGCTTGAATTTTAAGAGTGGTATTAGATGGATAGAAAAGACCAAGACCAGGGGCATTCTTCAGGTACTTGAGTATCCTCATTGCTTGCTGCATGTGTGGTTCCCTTGGGCAGGAAACAAATTGACTAAGCTGTTGGACAGCAAAGCCAATATCGGGCCTGGTATTAGTCAAATAAAGTAATCTACCAATGAGTCTTCGGAATGGAGAAGGATCTGAGAGTATAATGCCTTGATCTGCATGAAGTTTGACACAGGGGTCGGCAGGAGTGGACAAAGGCTTGCAGCCAAGCATGCCTGATTCAGAAAGCAATTCTAAACAATATTTTCTTTGATTTAAAACCAAACCAGTTTTGGATCTAGCAACCTCAAGACCTAAAAAATATTTGAGAGGACCAAGATCTTTGATATGGAATCTGGAATGAAGGTGATTTTTGACAAACTGAATCTCTGAGAGGTTATTACCGCTAAGAACTATGTCATCGACATAAACTAACAGAACAGTGACCATTGAACCCTTACATTTCATAAATAGAGAGTGGTCAGCGAAGCTTTGTTTGTAACCCAAGAAGAAAAGCTCGGAAGTCAATTTTTGATTCCAATTTCGATTGGCTTGTTTTAATCCATATATGGATTTTTGAAGCTTACAAACAAGCTTTGGATGAGAAAGAGAGAGACCAGGAGGAGGTTTCATGTAAAGTTCCTCATGCAAGTCTCCATGTAGGAATGCATTATCAACATCTAGTTGGTGTAAGAACCAGTTGTTGGCACTTGTCAGGGCTAAGAGAAGTCTGACTGTAGGTATTTTTACTACAGGTGAGAATGTCTCAAAGTAATCAACCCCCTCTGTTTGGGTGAATCCTTTGGCTACTAAGCGTGCTTTGAACCTCTCAATAGAACCATCGGTTTTATGTTTTATCTTGTAGACCCATCGACAACCAACTAATTTCTTGCCAGGAGGAAGATGAACCAATGTCCAAGTGTGATTTCTGTCCAGAGCTTGAAGTTCTGAGGCCATAGCCTGTTGCCAACAATCAGTTTGATTTGCTTCTTTGAAAGACTTGGGCTCAACTTGTGTAGAGATGTTATGACAAAAAGAAACATGATCAGGTGAGCAGTTATCATAGGAAAGAAATAAATGCATAGGGTATGGAGTAGAGTGATGAGATTGTGATGCAAAGGTTGCACCACAATAATATTCATCCAAGTATCCAGGCCTGTTTTTTACTCGAAGAGAAGCTCTAGGAGGAGCAATGGTAATTTGATTATCCTGAGTATTTTCAGAAATAGTGGGATCATTGACAATATTAGAATTGTTATTATTGTGTGTGAGTGTTGTATCAAGTGAAATGGGTAAAATAGATGGAAAATCAAAGAGAGTGAGGTCAGAAGTAGATTTAACAGTGTCAACTTCATTATGAGAAATGTCTAATAATGAAGTATGGTAAGGAAATATAGTCTCATGAAACACCACATTTCGAGAGACAATGATAGATTTAGAATGAAGATTATATAGCACATAACCTTTAGTCCCAGGTTTGTAGCCAAGAAAAATACATTTCAAGCTTCTAGGGGCAAGTTTTGTTCTACCAGCAGTGAGTGAACTAGCATAAGCTAGACAGCCAAAGACTTTGAGGTTAGTGAGATCAGGCTTGGTTGAGTGAACAATTTCATAAGGAGATTGGTGATTTAAAAAAGGGGTAGGCAGTCTATTGATAATATGAACAGCTAATTTGAGGGAATGAGACCAAAAAATGTTAGGAACTTTAGCTTGAAAAAGAAGAGCTCTACAAACATTAAGAAGGTGTTGATGTTTCCTCTCAACAATGCCATTTTGTTGAGGGGTCTCAACACAGGAAGTCTCATGAGAAATTCCTTTTGCATTATAAAAATCATTGATGAAAAATTCTTTTCCATTGTCAGATCTTAATTTCTTTAATTTGCATGAAAATTGATTTTCTGTTAAAGTGATGAAATTTTGAAGGAGAGGTCTGACCTCATTTTTGTTTTTGAGAAGAAGAATCCAAGTAAATCTGCTATAGTCATCAACTACAATCAAAAAGTATTTGTATCCTTCAATGGAAGGTGTAGCAATGGGACCCCAGATGTCAGCATGAATGAGTTCAAAAAAATAGGTTGATTTGCTATTACTAGTTAAGTATGACAATCTCTTTTGTTTAGCAAAGGCACAGGCATCACAAGCATTAACAGGATTAAAGGAAATATCATAATATTGAGAAGCCAAAACGTGCAAAATTTTATTAGAGGGATGACCCAATTTCATGTGCCACAAGGTACAAGAATGAGTATGATTAACAAGTATCGAATGCTGGAATGAAGAATGACAAGAAGAAGTATTTGACTCAGATGCATTCAAATTATTATTGCTTAAGAGGTGGAACAGGCCTTGATGCTTTCTAGCTACTCCAATCATCTTGAAGGTAGTTGTCTGCACTAGAATACAATGGTGTTTACAAAATATAACAAGGTAGTCATTGAAATTAATCAATTTAGGAATAGAAACTAACTGGACAGAAAATTCAGGGACAAAAAGTGTGTCATGAAGAATGAGTTTTCCTAAAATAATGGTACCAGAAAATTTAGCAATGACAAATTGTTGATTAGGTAGCCGAATGGAAATAGGAGAAATTGGTTTAAGAGTTTTAAAAGCAGATTTGAAAGGGCAAATGTGGTCAGTAGCACCACTATCCAGTATCCAAGAGAAAGAGGAAGGTACAGAACCTGAGGAATTAACAGTGCATTGATGGACACTTGTTACTGGAGGAGAGGCTTTTTGTGATTGTGATAACAAGGCAAGTATGGCTTGATATTGATCCTTAGAGAAACCAAATTGAGCACTTGGCTTGTCAGATTCCACAGCAGAAGGTTCAGTGACAATAGAAGATTCACTTTCAGCAATACTAGCAGAAGGCTTAGATGAACTAGGATTATTCTTGAAATTGTTCTTGTAACCTACTGGAAGTCCATGTTTGATCCAACAAGTTTCAGAAGTGTGATTTGTGCGTTGGCAATGATCACAATACTTATTGTTGCGTCCAGCGGATCTATTTGAACGACCTCTGCCTCGAGAATTGGAGAAACCTCCACGGTTTGTGAAAGAGTTTTTGTTGGAATTATCTTGAAAATTGATGTTAGCAACTGACTCTTGTGAATTATGAGAGAAAGAACCATTTAACTCACGTTCTTGTTGAAGAACTAGGGAGAAAGATTTCACAAGATTCGGCATAGGTTCCATGAGCATGATTTGAGAACGGACTTGAGAGAATTCATCATTAAGGCCACGAAGAAACTTGATAACACAATCATCATCTCATTCTTTTTGGATTTTGAGAATTAAACCACAATTACATGGAGAGGAACAGGTACAAACAAGAAGCGTACGATACATCGTAAGCTCTTTCCAAAGAATTTTCAGACGAGTATAATACTGTGATACAGTGGAGTCACCTTGCTTGCAGTTTTGAAGCTCCTCTTGTAGATCAGCAATGCGGAATTTGTCACCATGAGAGAAACGCTCAAGAAGATCGCACCAAATGTCAGAAGCCGTGTCCATCCACATAACTGATTGTTTGATGGAAGGTGTCATGGATCGTGTGAGCCACGACATCACCATCTGGTAGCCTCGTTCCCAAGCGTCATGTAGAGGATCGGTGGAAGGAGGACAAGCAAGAGGGCCAAGAACGAATTTCTCTTTGTTCTTTGTCTCGGGAGCCACAATCATGTCATGTTTCCATTGTTGAAAGGTGTTATCAGCGAGGAAAGGAGTGGCGAGGACGGGTGGAGGGGTTTCCCCTGGATGGAGGAAAAGGGGATTTGCTGGATTTACGAGGTGATCAGAAGGGTTGTCAGGTTTTTCCATGAGAAAACTGTGAGGGAGAAAAAAAAAGTGGGTTCCGAAAGAGAAGCAAGCTTCAGAGGACACAATGGCGGAAGCGGAAGTTTACCGATGATACCATATGAGTGCTTGTAATCGTACACGAGAAAAATGATAAAGGAAGAATTTGTGAAAAGAGAGAAGAAGAGAAAGATCAATAAAAACCTCAAGAATATGATTTCATATCAGTGCCGAAACATCTGAGAGTTGGTTATATATACAGTACAAACGACTAACTTTATCTAAGAGATAAGATGTGAAAATAACAACTAATCCTATATCTAATAGTAACTGAAACAACTATAACTAGATAAATATAGAATGAAGATATTATCATTCTATTTCTAATAATAACCACCTTGTCCTAACTTATTTTCAGATGAAAATCCATGTGTTGCCATCATTACTGATGTATACTTAAACACTTTTAAGTTGTTTCCCTTTTTTAAATCAATTTCAAAATCTTCCATACCAGATGACCGATTGCAGGTTGCTAAACGTAACATCTTCATCACCATTCCTTTGCTTTTCTTCCCTGTTTAAATGAATATGTGAAACATTAAAATTATATATTGAAATTTGATCAATATAGATTGTGTTTGGTAAAGTACTACACTGTTTTTAAAGTATGTAAACTACCTTGAAGCATATATTTTCGTTTTTTTATGGCTAGGCACATAATGAGTAAGCAAATTATGGCTACAGCAGTTGCTATTACTGCACCTATCCATGTCCACTTTTTTGTACCTGCATAGAATTTATACATATATAATTAGTGGCGTAATAATTTTTCAACACTATCAAAAGATTGCCTTCTGTTAGGAGATAGACAAGCCAGACTGTATGTGACTAAGGTAATATGATAGTGTCCATTCTATTCTAGGAGTCATGATAGAAAAAAACCTTCACAAATTGAATCACTTATATTATCTTTTGAATCATTTTAATTTGGGCTCTCAAATTGATAACTTATCATTTTAGTCTCTGTAATTTTAAAACATATTATTTAAATTATTGTATATATTTTTTTGCTCTCTTAAATTTAAAACATGTATTTTTAGTCCCAAAAAATATATATAAAAGTATCATTTTAGTCCTCAACTTAAATGTCATTTGTAAATCTAGTGCACAAAATTCTTCTAGTAATGTTATATTACTATTGAAAATACCATATTAACACAATTGATACCACCACAAAACTGTATCAATCTATTATTGTCATATATACTATTAGTTGTTATGAGGGATTAAAATAATATTCTTTTTGAGATTACAAGATTAAAAAATAAAATTTAAATTTGTGGACTAAAATTATAATATTTATATTTTGAAGACTAAAAATACATGTTTTAAATTTGAGAAACCAAAAAATATATACAAAAACTAAAATATATTTTTTTTTAAATTATAAGAACTAGAAACACAAATTATAAATTTGGGAGACCAAAAAAAAATTACCCCAAAATTAAAGGACTAAAAATATAGTTAAGTCATACATATATAAAAATAAAATAAAAAATACTCTTCTATCACTATCCATTTAATTATGTAATATTATCCATCATAATCTTTCAACTATTCAATATTTTTTGTGGAGCCTAGAATCCATCCTATATAGTACATAAGCATGTATTGTTTCCAAGTCTTCTGTTTTGGATTATGACACGCTATGAAGGAATCAAATAAATTACACTTACCCTTATGCTGATCACGAGTTAATATGTTCTCCAGTAAGTAAAAGTTTTCACCATTACTGTCTAAAGCATAATTTTCCGATGAATTAATCCAGTGAAAGAAATAACATCCAGTTCCATTACGATAAAATTTTCTGAATCCAGCACAAGTACAATTGCTCCAGCAACTGGCCTCGCAATCACTGTAACCATAACTTGTATTCTGCTCCGAGGTTGCATTTTGGTAACTCACGTAACCAGTCTTTATCCGAAACACATCACCACGGTTCCTACACTTAGGTATATCCTCCCACCTTTGGCACCCTCCATCAGAGTTGTTGTACCCAAAACACATATCAGCCCTTGCAACATACACTTTATCATTAGCTAACTCCCCCATATCCGTTAGCCACCACCACAGTGTACCATCTTCATTCGTAGTTGTGAAAGAGAATGAGTCTTCATTGGAATTGGACACAACGGTGTACCTCAACGTGCGTTGTGCATCTTCTGAAATGTGCTCAAACCTATTGTTCCTCAGTTTCCCACTTCGCCAACAAACTTTTCCTCGTCTCTTGATGATCAACTCTTGCGCCATTGGTTCCCATTCGAGGCTAAAGGCACCTGGAGTCGCAAGTGACTTAGTAAACCACGAAACCAGGAACCAATGATGGCCTGTTTTGTGATTAAACCCTAACTTCATGGTAGGAACCAAAGTGTCACATGGATAATCAAAACTCTGCCACAACACACTCATTGTAGACCCATTTGGGTGAAGTTGTTGAAGCACAAAGTTTCCTGTGTCCAACAACGTGGCCACAGTGTTGTTGATAGGGTGAGGTGGAGAATAGAGGATTATTGGTTTCCCACGTTGAGATTCTATTTTCAGCACACCAGAGTGGTTAAGTGATAAAACTGCAGAATCTAGGTCAACAGGTTGGGTTGTATCACTCATCCAAACTTCAGCATCCTTATTTGCATTGCATATAACCAAGTAATTGTTCTCATCACTAGTAGTTCTACTAAAAATTAAATAATATTTGGCGTTTTTAGAGTATAGTGTTGGTTTCTCTGTGTGGTGCAGTGTATCACCAGGCCTTAAACTGTTGTTTGCTGCATTAACATGAGCACAAGTGCTCCACCACAGCCACAAGTACACGAAAGCAAGCGGTTTCCCTTGCTTAAGCTTGATTGCATACTTCAAATATGGAAAGACTAAACTGCAAGAGTTCATTTCACAAGGGATGAAAGAGTGACTCCTTTTGGTATGTTAAACTTCAGGAAATATAAAAAGAAAATAAAACTAAGCTCTGAAATTAAAATCTCCTAGAATACAGAAATATACTCACAAGACCTGAAGGAGGGTCATTCCGAAATCTTATCACAAGTTTCACGCCTTACTTCGGCTTTGAAATTCTGCAGCATAGGTGTATGGCCTCTACATATCAAAAGAAAGGAAAATGACCGGTTTACTTTATTACAATAATTCACTACTAGAAAATTGTAAAGTAACGACCGAAATTAGCGACTGAAATTTATTAGTCGCTATTTAGCGACTGATTCTGAATAATCAAAATAGCGACTGATTTAGCGAGCAAAATAAGTCGTCGCTAAAAAATCGGTCGCTATTTCGGTCGCTAACTACTAAATTGTAAAAAAACGTTGCGACCAAATTAAATTTGGTCGCTAAAGAAGAAATTTTGATTTTTTTAGCGACAGAATTGAATTCACTCGCTAAATATTAGTTAAAATTAGCGACGATAAATATTAGTTAAAATTAGCGACACTAAATATTAGTTAAATTTAGCGACCTCTAAATAATTTTTTTTGATTTTTTAGCGACAAAATTGAATTTGATCACTAAATATTAGTTAAAATTAGTAATGGAATTGAATTCGGTCACTAAATAAGAAATTTTGATATTTTTAGCGACGGAATTCAATTCGGTTGCTAAATATTAGTTAAAAATTGCGACGAAATTGAATTCAGTCGCTAAATATTAGTTAAAATTAGCCACAAAATTCTATTCGATCGCTAAATAAAACTTAAAAAAAAATTATAAATTGCTTAAAAATGATGATAATATTGTTGTTGAGTATCAATCCCATTTTCTTTTTTTGTAAGATATAATAAAAAAATATTTATATGCACTCTTACATAATTAATACCAATAGTTATTTATATGAAAAAATATTTAGAGTTTTTTTTTTGCGATTGGATTTTTAGGCATTTATTTAATTAGAGTATATGAGTTTTTTAAAATTTCTTATTTATTTTGATTCATATTTATAATATATATTTCTAACTTATGATAAATTTATTTTTAAATAAATTTTTATATTTAAATTTTATTGATAGAAGAGAAGTGATATCTTAAGGAAAGAAAGAATTATAACATCCTCTCTCTTTCTAATAGGAAGAGTACAAATATATTTTCTTAATTATTAGTATTTCTTTATTTTTGTGTGATAAAATTGATTATTTTAAATTATTTAACTAGAATCTTATTAATAGTTTACTATATGATTTTGATATTTTTGTATAACTAATATCTGGTTTTAAACTTGATATGAAAATATTATGATATAATTAGATAAGATTTTAAATTAGTATTTTATTAATGGTTAATAATTAGAAAATAAAACAAGGATAAATACATTTTTTGAATTTTATATCTTAGATTTAAGATGAATAAATATATTAAGTTAATTAATAATTTATTTAAAATATTAAAATTTAATTTATAAAATAATATTTTAAAATAGAAGGGTTATAATAACATCAGTGTAACTTTTACTA